TGTGTGTGTGTGTGTGTGTGTACAGATCGGTTGCGACACTTTTTTTTATAGATTTCTAATATATATTTTATAGACATCTAGTATTTTGCAAATGCGAATCACGATGTACTATCTTTAGTCTAGGAAACAGAATAAAACCAATTGTATGTCGCATTTGCAAAATATTAGTGTGTTATGAAACCTATTAAAAAAAAGTGTTGCAACCGATATGTTCATGACTGTACATTACAAATAATGTAACGTGTGAATGTAAATTAATTGTATTGTAAACAAAATTGTACTCATGTAATTTTAAATATATCATGTAAAATTTATGCTATACTATGTTCAGATAAATGTTATCATTATTTTTGTACGATAATTGATGAATTATTTATATTTTAGAATATTTTGATATCAAATATCTATGACTAACAGCATTTATATATTTGAATATTAGATTTTAAATATTCAAGGCTCTTCGTTTATCTGGTCTTAGTAAACCATATTATTGTAAAATTATTTACGCAGAATTAGTATGATAACAAGAATTTTATTAAAAACTAATATTTTTGATAAATATTTAATTTTAACATTTTTTGTTTCCAAATTCGGATTTAATTTGAATACCGAAAGAAGTTATTTATAATTTCGAGAAATTTTGAATTAAAATTACAATGTTTAAAATTATTGTCATTTTTTTTAGCATTTAATAAATAAGTTTATTAAATAAGATGTTGAAAATTCCAGCTTTAGCTGAGTCAATGATTAATTATTAATTTCTTGTTTGCAAAATTTGAGGTTTACATTTATGAATTTTTTCCCGTGATTTCTGTAATGCGTTAAATATTTTTTAACGTATTTTAAAATTATGTATTTATAAATATTTTTAAATTACATTTAGAATGTGTTTAAATTAAATGTTTAGAAATAGTTATTAAAAAAAATATTTAAATATTTATTAATGACAAACGCTACGTTCTTTTCTTGTTTTTGGATGCGATCGCTGTCTCCTTCCTCTTTCGCTATTCCTCGTGTCGAATAAGCGCCAAATACGTGATTTATTTTGACAAAAATCGAAGTATTCTTCATCATAAAAAGTTATTTTTCGTTGATTTCCATGAGTTACATCCACGATGTTTAGTTCGATGCCTCATTGAAAATTGAAAGTTCTTGTTACAGGGTCAAAATTAATCTCTCGAGTTTTTTTGGCAGTCCTCGGAAGTTTTAATTTTGGCAATAAATCAATGACAACCACTACATATTTGAAAATTGAGTTGTTAAATTACATCAATAATATATTTTGAGATTTTTTTTGCTAAATGTTCTTCCATTAGTATCAATATTAATATCAGTGCTGTTTTAATAATAATAAGACATATATTATAAAATAAATATGTATAATACATATGTATTATAAAATAAATATGGATATAATGATTATTTAAACAATATCAATTATAAAGTAAAATGAATTTAAGCTTTATATTAGTAATTTGCTTATTTTTTTATAAGTATTTTAACAAAAATATGGTTACGAACGTATACATATATTTAATTCTGTAACTTTTAACCTATTTCAACAAATTATTTTTAGGTACTGGACGTCCCACTATTCTCTGGAATATTATTTGTTTAGTTATAGCAATTTATATTTCTTTATAATGAAATACATGCATATATCATGATATTTATTTGATAAATTTAAATTGTTATTGATTTACAATTAGATAATTTTACCCAAAAATTACTCTTTTATTTTTTCTTTTACATGAAATTCTTATACATGAATGCATTAATACATGAATGTAATTAGAAATGTGCGGTTACAAAAAATTTGAGATTAGTCAAATGGGTACTCCCATATTAGTGGGATATCAATAACTAAAATTTTTACATGGTTGAAAAGTAGATAATTGTTAAGTATTATATTTATAGAGTTTTTGGTACAAAATTCTTTAAAATATCCCGCTATTATAGGGTTGACTTATCTCGAACAGTTGGTACCCGAGAAACATTTGTATCCGTACATATAATAAGATATAATTGCGCATGTATTTTATTATTAAATGTATTCCTTTGTAACCATAATTCTATAAGAATCATTTTATCCATGCATTTTTCAATAATGAGGAAGAACATTTTTTGTATGCCAATTCACGTATTAAAGATGCAATAACAGTCATTGATATGCTGCTGAAATCATTACTATATTATTACTGTCGCGAGCAATTTGAAAGATTCAGAATTCCATTGCCTCCTGTAACAAAACTGCTGACGTTTAATGGATCGCTTAACTTTTTTTGCGGATGGACCTTGTGGAATTCAATATAGAATTAGAGCACAATACGTTCGCTCTCCATCATAAAGATTGTTTTTTTTCGTATAGAATAACCTGCGTACTCGGTGAAGGGATCTCAATGTGATCAAATATCCATCTTTGTTTGCGGTAAAATCGCAATCATTTCTCGCTATCTATTAAGATTCGTAGAACTCTAAAATGTATGCCTAGAAGGCAATCATTCGTATGCGTTTGATAGTTCGTTTGAATCGTATTTTATTGAAATCAAATATGGGTGAGCTTCCATAAAAAAACGCAAATACGGAATTGTATTAATTTTTTAACTAGCAATACTAATTATAATTCATATTACATTGACATTTTAGATTTTTATCTTATTCGGGAAAATAGTATTATGAGTATTTTCGTTGTCTGTACTGATTTCTTATTGTGATTTAATTTCTAAACTTTAATCATTGACTTACTCTAAAGCTTTGCTTATTTTTTATGAGTTGAATATTTCTGTAAAATTTTTTTACAATTTATCAATGTTTGAACGATGGAAAACTATAACACATAAATATATTATTTACATTTTTGGTTGCAATATTGCTCGCATTAGATAAAATTTAATAAGTTTCGTATAATCACAAGTTGATAATAAAAAATAAATATCGTTAATTATTGATAATTTTTATTACTCAATATTTCAGTAATAATATGTTTAATAAAATTCATGTTATTATATGTATTTTTAAATAATTCTGTACTTTTATATAATTCTGCAATTTTTTGTTATGTTACTAATAATATTATTTTATTGTATTTTAAACAGCATTTTGTAATCTTAATAACATTATATTATATGATAAATAATATACTTTATAATTATTGTATTATAATATAAAATTAATAATATTGTGAATTAAACATACAATCTAAGTAGCAAGCTAATGTTATTTGTCATCAGCTTGCAATTTATTGGGATAAAGAGGACCGCTAAAATCGGCGGGGGTGGTGGAGGGCCTCTACGGGCTAATTCGTCTTAGCCCAATTAAATTTTTTTATAAAATTTCAAATTTATAATATATTGAAAACTTTTCAAATATTCTTGATTTCTGTAGTTATAGTTATGTACTTTGTGTATTGAAACTTTTCATAATACATTTTTATTGTATATTTTGATAGTAAAATACATTATGAAATAATATATAAATTGTATAAACGTAAAAAAATACATATCACCTAAATAGCAAGCTAGTGTTATTTGTCATCATATTGACTTCTAGCTACTTTAGATAAAAGAGGACCGTTAATTAAATTAACGGGGGTGGTGGAGGGACTTTACGGGCTAATTCGTTTTAGCCTAATTAAATTTTATATAAAATCTCAAATTGAAAATATATAATTGGAAAACTTGTCAAGAATATTTGATATCTATAGTTATACTTTTTATGTATATTGAAACTTTTTATTGTACATTTTGATATCAAAATATATTACACAAAAAATAAAATATTAATGTATGTAACCTTAAAAAAGTACATATCACCTAAGTAACAAACTAATGTTATTTAGTTATCATGTTGGTATTAGCTTGTTACTTGGAATAAAAGAGGACCGATAATTAACGAGAATGGTGGGAGGCCTTTTCGGGCTAATTTTAACTTAATTAAATCTTATATAAAATCTCAAATTACAAATACATAGTTGGAAAATTTTTAAGTATACTCAATCTCAGTAATTATATGTACATACTTTGTATATTGAAGTTTTTTTATATATTTCGATATCAAAAGACATTACATAAAATAAAATATAAATGTATATGTATATAAATGTAAAAGACATTATATAAAAAATAAAATATAAATGTATATAATTAAACGTATAAGAATACGTGTCACCCAGGTAGCAAACTATAAACGTTATTTGACATCATATATTGACGCCATGCATTAGTTTGTTGCCTGGGACAGAAGATCGAGGACCGCTGTGATTATAATTGGCACGAGTAGTGGAGGGAATTTACGGGCTAATTTGTTCTAGCCCAATCAAAATTTTATTCGTGTTTTAAATTGAATATAGTTTGCTTAGAAAAATTCCAAGTTTAGTCAATAACTTGCAAATTGCTAGTATAATTGGTTAAATAAAGTAGCTTATATAAAAAATATTGTTTATGCAATATAGTAATTTTATCATATAATTTTCTATAATTTTATATTACATAATGTCTTTTTTGTTCTATTATTTTATATGCGTTGTATTAAATTATATATATTTCTAGCGCATTTTTTAAGTATATATTTAAAAATAAATTTGTAGCGTAATTAAATAATAATGAAGTATAAATGTTTATTCAACGCAAATAGGTCTTGATTGGAATCAGGGATGATGAAGGATTTTTACAAATTTGTTTGTTTTTGTTCAATTAAATTTTATTTTAAGTACGAAAATGTATGTACATACTTTCGAATGCGCAATTTATCGAGAAAGCCGCAAGCAGCCTTGAAAGGTGGATGTAGCACGGATACGCACCACAAATTATATACCGACGGTGCAGAAAAGTGAATGTTGCTATGTAGTTTATACCACTTCTTCAGGCGGCGTTAGTGCGCGAGGGCACTTTTGAGGTAAAAGGCCGTCAGCCGTCATGTCCATGTCATGTCCTATTATCAATAGATAGATAATTCAAATTCGATTCGATTTGAAGAGTACATACATTCGAACGTTCAATATTCGAGAATTTCATGTCTCGCATGACTGTGAACTGTTTGCGAGACTACAGTTTTCTGCTTGGCGCTTGCTATTGAATTTGAGGTTATGTATCTATTGCCGGCAGAAAGGTTGAGGTTATACATGACAGTGGCATGTTGCGGGACGAACGATGAACAAATTGTTACATATTCCGATCAAGGAAGTTAGCCGAGAGATTTATGGTGGTGCGATACGACCGTCCGAGATCTGTAAGGCTTGTGTTAAGCTGACTTCAGTCATCAAGCCTTTAAACGCTTATATCACCGTGACGAGCGATGTTGCGGAAGAGCAGGCGAGCGCCGCCGATGAGAGGCAACGGAGGAGTGCGTTATTGGGACAGCTCGATGGCATTCCCGTTGCCGTTAAGGATAACTATTGCGTCGTGGGTAAACCCACGACCTGTGCTTCTCGGATGTTGGTCAACTTCTCTCCGGGCTACAACGCCACCGTCTACGAGAGGCTCAGGATGCAGGGAGCCGTGTTGATCGGCAAGACCAATCTCGATGAGTTTGCCATGGGCTCCGGCACTGTGGACTCGTTTTACGGGCCGACGAAGAATCTATGGGGCTCAGACGTTTTATCTCAATTTTATTCGCACGGGTCTGACAGTTCGCACAAGGTCATCACGAGGAAACTGCATGAAAAAGATGCGTGGCGCATAGCAGGTATCATTGCCATAAATTGTTAATCATTGCTTAGCGTACCTTATTTTTGTTATTTAGCTAACTTAGTAACTTGAGGGATATGCTAGCGTTAATTTTTTGGGATGTAATGCATCTTAGGTGGCAGTAGTGGAGGTTCGGCAGTTGCAGTAGCCACAGGTACCTGTTACGCGGCCTTGGGCTCTGACACTGGCGGTTCCACTCGCAATCCTGCGTCCTATTGCGGTCTAGTCGGCTTGAAACCAACTTACGGTTTGGTATCGCGTTACGGCCTTATTCCTTTGCTGAATTCGATGGATGTCCCTGGTATTCTCACGAGAACAGTAGACGATGCTGTATTAATTTTAAACGCCATAGCTGGTCCCGATCGAGCAGATCCCACTACTGTGCAGAGAGAATGTGTTCCAATTAACTTGTCCGAAACGATAGACGTTAGCAATCTCAGGATTGGGATACCAAAGGAATACGGGATACAAGGCATAAGTGAGGAGATTGCGGGATGTTGGGAGAAGGTAGCTCGTCTTCTGGAAGAAGCGGGAGCCAGTGTAGTTCCAGTGTCGTTACCTCACACCGATTACTCTATAGTATGTTATTCCGTTTTAAATCGATGCGACGTAGCTAGCAACTTGGCTTGTTACGATGGTATAGAATATGGCCATAGAGCCGATGAATGGAGTTCGGCTCACGAATTGTACAAGAGAAGCAGATCGGAGGGCTTTAATGACGTAGCCAAAGGTCGTATATTAGTCGGGAATTATTTTCTTTTGGCGGAAAATTACGAGAAATATTATATCAAGGCGATGAAAATGCGTAGATTAATCGCGCGGGACTTTGACGTTCTGTGGCATAATAATATAGACCTCCTGCTGACCCCGACTACGTTGACCGAGGCACCGTGTTACGACGAATTTGTACAGCTGGACAATCAGACGCAGTGCCTGATTCAGGATCACTGTACGCAACCCGCGAACATGGCTGGTTTGCCCGCGATCAATGTACCGATCGAGCTCTCTCGCAATGGTCTACCTTTGTCCTTGCAATTAATGGCGCCGCTCTTTCACGAACAGAGGCTACTTACCGTGGCAAAGTGGCTCGAACAGGCAGTGCGATTCCCGCGACTTGAACTGAAGAATTCGTGTCTACTTGAATAAACTAACTTTTTTATAAACATCGATATTTTATTTATCTTCTGAATTCTTTTAAATTTGCATTATATATATTTCATAGATACATTTGGTCTGTTACGATTATTTACGAACTGCCAGCTTTGCAACCGGTTTTCATATATGCATCTTTCGAGTATTACGTATACAATTAGAACGAAAATTAGGTTTCGTCGCATTGCGCAACGGTCGCAACTCCGAGGCCATGCAATGCAAACAAATTATACTCCGGTACACCATCGAGCGTATCTGAAATTCTATTCGTCGAATAATGGCGTTTGCTTTTGCAACCTTCGTTTCACTGCACTGTAACGTTCATTATGTACAAAGACGAAATTATGATTCTCTTTATTATAAGACTAATTCTTCAGAAAAAAGGTAAGCAAAAAGCTTATCCAAGTAAATATTATAGAAAGAACAACTTGTTATTTTTTTAAAGCATCTCTTGTGCAGCCTTTTTTATGTCGAATTTTTGCATTCCGTATTTTCTATCTCGACATACGTATATCCTCATTTCATTAGCTAGTCATCGAGGTTCGCACGGCGAAACTTTGACATTTCGAAATTTATTGTCCCTCAAGGATCCGAGGGTGATTTAAGTGGAGAACAAACAACTGAGAACATCGCGCGCGTACAAAATCTATTCACGTAGCGTTTTCGATAATTAGATCGTTGTGACATTTCAGTCTAATCTATTGTTCGCATTACATTAAGAAGCTAACAGAGAAACGGGACAATCTAATGCGTATTTATAAAGTCAATTATATTTTATTGTTGCAAAATGATATATAAAAATTTACATATTATTATTTATAGAGATTACAGAGAATGATAATTGCAGATTATACAATAAATTTAGATTCGAATATTACATAATTTATGTGTATAATAATTTATTACTAATCGAATTACATTTTTCTTTTAACACGAGTACATTTCCTTATCTTGAAATAAACCTTGCTTTCGTTATTTCAAATGTCAGTCTACTCACTTATTCGTTGAAAGGCTGAAACGAGGAGACATTCATCCCTGTACTGAATATTAAATGATATGTATCTTTTCTTTTTATAATTCAACGCGATATCGAAAACTCTCCGAGTTTTAAGGAAATAGTTCAAAAGAACAGAAATAATATATTCTGTCTGTATATATTATTTCGTTTCTCTCGTAATAGCGGCCGCAAGTGGTGTTAAATCGTGCATATTCGGATGTTCCTATCCAGGCGCGTGATAGTCGTGCCGTCTAATTTTGTATTCTCTTTTCTTGCCGTATTATGTAATTTCCGGTTCTTATCGCCGCATAAAACTCGGTTCTGACTACGAAACCACGAGAAATGAGACGATAATACATTTCGTCAAAGAGAAAACGAGCTATAGTCGTTTCATTATGCAGCATCTCGTTATCACATCACTATCGTATCAAATTATAAAAAATTTCTAAGTCATTCTCTGAATGTTGAAATATTATTATAAACATACAACATTATTAGGAATTCTTGTTATTTTCCAATCTCACTTTTTTGTGAACAAAATTAACGTGTATATATATATATATATGAACGATTAATATTCGAATATACGCGCCGAACTGGGTTGCCTCGTGTACAAAGCTGTGTAATTAATGACAGAGGAAATAATGTATCTAAGTACTGTGTCCGATAATCGAGTAAGCCGCGCTCATATTACACGCTTTAATCCAGGCTCGTAAAGCTTTGCGGCAGCCATCGGTGAGAGCAGCCCATACTTTTAGAACATCAAACGCGCTCGGTAATCATTCTCCTTTGAATTTAAAAAATATGAAGCCTTTGTGATTGATGTAACCCTCGACTCCAGTCCTCGATTCCTCCGTATATGCGTTATTTTGTTACCTCGGTTAGAGTTCATCGTAAATCCTTGACTAATATTCTCTATCTGAAAACACTCTGCTCTATGCGTTTATCGTTCTTGTTTGCGCACTTTTGTGCTGGTGCGGCAATAATAATAATAAAGAGAGAGAGAGAAAGGAATAATTGCGCTAGAAAGTTATTAAAACTTTTTTACCTTTTTGCAATTAATGTCGCAATCTTACCACATGATACATTTTTACGACTAGTCTCTCAAAGAAAACGTTTTTTTTTTATATGTCAAAACTACTTTGTAATCAAACATTGAGTCGAATACAAATCATATAATTTAATTTAAAAAGCTGACAAAGAAAAGAAAAGGCTCATATTTGAAATTTCAAACGCGATGTCGATTATTAGCTATTCGCCGCGTTGCTCCGCAGCCAATTAGCATCTGCTTGTCCAGGCGCAAATTACAATGCGCGGTTAATGGAAGTTGGATTTCGAGAGTACGCGCGCGATCTTCCGATTTATGGCCAATCGAAATTGAATTCTAGTTAGTAACAGCCAGAGTACATACATTCAAACACCCTTTTATAGAGAGATTTTCGTACGATGAGCCAGTGCTTCCCAATTACGAGATTACGAAAGTTTTAACACGAGAGTTTTGGTCAATTCTGACTAATAAAATCCTTTCTTCATTTACCACGTTATTTTTTCTTTAATTAAAGTCAAATTTAAGCGGCGATGAGTTTTAGAATCTATTTTATTGTCATAACGTGCAGCGATGTAATTTGAGTAATGTATGAACGATGAGTTTTTGCAAACTCTGTAAAAAAAAATCAAAAAGAATATCTGATAATAATTAGTCAGAACAATGAGGAAATTATGGTCGCGTTTAGTGAGCTTCCAAGAGAACGAGCTGCGAGGCTGACATCAAGTGTTTGACCGTAGTGCAACCCTTTGGCGCGTATACGATTGCATGCACGAACAATGCATTTCCGGGAAACGACGAGAAACTCTTAAAGGTACATAGCAATAATTATAGCAACAAGGAGGCAATAGAAGGAAACGAGTTACGAGTAGCTTGCGAGCGGGTTTAGGCAAACAGATCATTTAGGTCAGGGTCATTTTATTATATACTGTATAAAATATATTTACTTATCATCGTCGCACTGTGCAAGCTCGCTCTCACTTTCGCGGCGCGGAAAACGCCGTGCAGGATCTATCCATCTCGAGGTCGGACGTTCAGGACGATAACGACGGAACGACGATGGAGGGAAAAAGGCAGGCGGCCGGCCGAGAGGGTGGCCGTCTCTGGGAAAACAGGGTTGGGCACGGGGTGGCGAGGACGCATGCGTCGGACCCGGCCGTCGGGGGCTGTCGTGTCGCTCTCTGTCGTCGGTTACGCCAGTCGTCGTGACGACTTCGAGCCGTCGTCGTCGAGAACGTCGTGTTTTTAAATCGACCGCCGCGCGCCCACGCATCGTCATCGAATTTTCTCTCTCTTTCTCTATCTTTCTCTCTCTCTCTCTATCTATCTATCTATCTCTCTTTCTTCCTCACTTTCTATCTTCATCTTTTTTTCTCTTTCACTCATTCTCACTCTCATTCACACACACACTTCCTCATACCCCATATATTTCTTCTCGTCGTATTCACCGCCGCATTCGCTCCGCTCGCTCGTTTGCTTGCGCGCGCGCGCGCGCGCCAGCCGAGAATGTCGTGGCGCTCGCACCGCACTTTAAATCGTTGGCAAGTTCGCGCCGCGGGTGTCGTCGGCCGCGATCGCTATCGCGGATGAGCATTTCCGTGGTGTGTGGCCGGCAACGACCGATGGGGAATCGTACGCGGGTGATCTCGCGCGACTCGCGCGGTGGTGCGACGGAGTGACTAACGTCGTCGGGTCGTGTATATTCGCGTCCTTCGCGACCGCCGAAATCGCGGTCGGCGCGGACTTGGACAGGTGCGCGAGTGACCGCGGCTACCCTCCTATCATCGTTGTTATACGTCGTCGACTGCGCGCGACCACCCCGCAAGGGGTGCTCCATGATTGCACACCGCGTCGCGACAAGTGAATGGGCTTCGACACCTTGGATCGCCCGATATCGCAAGTGAGTGTTGTAACAGATTAGTGTAATAAATTCGAGAGAAAGAGAGAAAGAGAAAGGGAAGAGGGGAAAGCGAGGAAGAGATGGAACTGCGTGAATAATGGATTAATCCATAGAATCAAGGTGCTTTTTAAGGGTTTTCCTCCGTAAGATAAATATGTAGTTTTTGTAATAATAGAATGAAATTAGATATTTATGCTTATCGGACAAATAATGATTGCGGAAAACGTACTCCGTTTCGTTTTATTATTGCAAACGCGTATCACAAGGAAATGTTATTATAAATACAAAATGCTTCCGTTAAATTCTACGAAATTAAGAAGCATCTGATAAAATTGTATCGTAAAATTAATACGTTTGAATACGAAGCGGAATCATTGAGAAACCGCTTCGGATATTCAGAGTTGAATATAATGCACTGTGTTCTTTCTCCTGGAAGAAACGAAAGACCGAAGGATTATGCGTTGGACGTATTGCGCCGAATCGATACCGTATTTCCGTAACATATGGCATGCAGTGGAAATGGAATGATTTAAAATACAAATCTGTTATCCAGATAGATCGTAGTCAGATAGATTGCCGTCGTACGAATACGCGAAGTTTTTCAATGAACGGGAAACTTTTTCGAAAGTGCGCGTCAAGCGAGGATATTTTTCTCTCCGGGCAATTTTTCTGTCAGACCGATATTTCCTCCGTTTCTTCACGGTCAAATCGGTTACTTTGAGTAATTTCAAGACGTGATTCCGCAATATCGTAGATAGCGACTACTATACATAAGGTGTCCTATCGATAACGATAAAATATGCGGTAGAATATATAATAGACGACAGTTTATTATTTACAAGAAATTCCATATTCTAATAAAAACTAATAAAACAAATATAATATTCTAATATAATAATATATGTAATTATAAAATATATATTATAAACAAACGAATATGACGAATATGAATAAGCTAATATAATAATATATGTAATTATAAAATATATATTATAAACAAACGAATATGACGTAATGTAACATGTAATAATTATGCTATATTAATTTCATTTATTACAATTATCTAATAGATCCACCATTAATAAGATTATTTATTAATCACGTATTCTATTTGTATTTGCCAAGTAGAATCGACGGTATGTTGCAAAAGTCGAAAGTGTCATAAGCTGTGACATAAAGGGAATCGGCTGTATAAACTCGGCCGGACAGTGACTCGTTGCAATGCGATATCGCCGGCAGTTTAACACCGTTGCCGTCGTACTTTAGTTGTTGCAGTTCACGCGACTACGTCACTTCCTTTTTCCGCCTAACACCGGGTCGTCCACGTAACTCCATTAGACGAGTAAACAGGATTGTGTGCATAACAAGGCTCCCCCAGTACTTTTCACTGGGGTGTTCTACTGAAAACACGCAGGGCCCTCGCACACGACCACGACCGCGGAGAACATCGCCGCGTTCCAGTCTTGCGCGCGACGTAAGGGGAAATATTGTTGCAACGTCTGTCTACTCGTACACTCTGTCAGTTTGCATCTTTGCCGATATATCGTGCGCCGCGCGTGGAAACGTCGACGTCATCGGACGTATATTCAAATCCCCGCCACGTATTGAAAATCTGCGAATAAACCGGAATAAAAGCGTAGACGCAACGTGAGAAAACGAGACAACGGAAAAACCTTGGCCATATTAAATTTTCAACGGAACCGCGCCTTTTATTTTCTCCATTTCTTCCTCCCCGAGGGATCTCTTCTCATTTCATTTCTTTTGTTTTTCCTTCGTGTAGAGCCTTCGGGTGTCGCACCCTCCCATGTATTTGACACTTTAGCATCGGATTACTGTCCTCCTAGTTGGTTTACAAGCTACATCCAGGGAAAAACAGCTTGTAGCTTATTAGGGAAGGAGCTACCGCACGTACGCGTCATTGATCATCCAGTCGATTCCTTATTGCTCTCTTTGGGTGAATTATGCTAATTATTTCGCCCGGCGCGGTGGCGAGCCGTCGCGTCGTAAAACATCGCTCATCGCGCTACAAATACAACTTCA